TTTGGAAGGGAAATTTATTCTAATAGATTCATTGACTCTACTACAGATCGCACATATTCAGATATGCCAGGGTATGATGAGAAACGGATCATCTTTTGGATACTTCTCTCACCATTAATTCTTACCTCGGTCGCCAAAGGCGCGCATCACCTCGGTACTCATCGTCACTGAGACACATGACAGAAAACATGTATCCAAGTGGTCATACAGGTTTGCGTTACGAGGGTCATCCCGCGCATCACGCAAAACGTGATTACATATAACGCAGAAGATGATGGCGCTGCCATATGCCAACTCGCGTTTATTCCACCGGTTACGGGTAAATTCTACTACCTCCGACTTGTCATTTTGCAATTGCTTTTCACCCAGTCAAGGCCGCACACTCATATATAAAAACTCAACGTGATGACGTCCAACCTTCTCTACCCGCCCAACAGCCACTTGCTGACTGACGTCGTCATTAGCGCGGTGGTAGCCAAGAACAGAAGACCAGCTTCAGTATTCAACAAAGCAGACAATGCCTCGACACTTGAGCAACCGAGTCACCCAAGCTCCCACCAACCAACTTCATCATCGATTGTACAAATCACCCAACCGAGTGTGGTTAATGACGTCGTCAAAGTGGCATGGAATGAGCTCAGTACAGCAGAAAAATCGCTTCAGCTATATCGACAGCGTCGCCGGGTAACTCAGCAGAGATACAGAAAAAAGATCGACCACAGGGCAGCTTCCCTGGAAGCTGATGTCGCAAAGCTACAAAAGGAAGTACAACGAATCGAGTCAATGCTACACCCTCCACCTACTGTGGCTACAGATACGTCGCGCTGGACAGCAGCGGCGCAGTTCTTCAGCCTTTTTCAAAATGGCATAGACAGAGCCAAAGAGAAAGAACACGTTCAGATTAGGTTTCTACAAGCGGCTATGGCTCCTAACATCGCGTTTAACGACGGATACGGTATCCATGCAGTACTGAAGAATTGGAGTCACCGCTCACTCCATCATGAGAAGACGGAGATTCAGCTTGTACGTTTGGAACCAGGGTCAGAAGGCATCGTAGTTGCCCATTTGAGCAACGCTACTACCATCACGGAAAGTATGCTGCGCAAATCTCTCTTGTGTGCTGGTAAAGATGGTGAAAACAGCGAATGGCCGTCATTTGCTTGGAAGCTCCTTGGCCAGCGGCTTACTATTCGGACCATCGTGCGGTTTGAATGGGATTATGAGAACAGTCGCTTCGACAGCGTTTTCTACGAAGCAGATATGCTGACACCGTTGCTCGACCTTTTAGGGAATATGCAAGACGCCTCCACTGTGCTGAGCAGCAGTCTTGGTATATATTAGGGTATTCCTCAGTGAGTCTAACTAGAATCATTTAGCTGATCAGGTTTTAAGTTTAAATGTTCAGTCAATGATCCATACTCTAGAGCTTGAACAAACAAGGCATTAGCTACAACGGGTTGAAACCATTAAACCTCAACACGAAGCTGCATCCCAAGGCTGCTTGTTCATTGACTTGACAGTATAGAAGTGTGTTTGTTATCCGTGGGGCTATTGTCAATCGGAGAAGAAGATACTGAGAAATATACAGTCGTTTCGCCCTCATTGTGGTACAGTACAACACGATTTGTGGAGTCTTCATTTCCTATAATTGTTCTTAATGGTCATGCGGCAACTACTGTCAATGCAGCAGCGCGGTCAATGAGCAGCAAGCCTGACACGGGAGATGCATCGGTGGTCACTCACGCATGCATTTAAGAGGAACAGTAATCTTGTCAATTGGTGTTCGTACTTTTCCCCCTGGATGACGGTATACGACCAGGGACGCCGTTCGCATAACGCATTGTGTGATATCCATAACGCAAATCATGATGACCGAATGATTATGGTCGTAGATAAACTGTATGTGCCCACTTTTCAATATTTATACACACTGCTTTTCCTTACTTAAGTACTCGAGCGAAGTAATGGGACACTTAAGTATCGCATCCAATAGTCGACAGAATCAAGGTGGAATGACGGACGATAAGCTGATCTCGACGCGCATCACGCTGAAGGCGGTGCCAATAACGCATAGTGTGTCGACACAAGCTGCAATCCACAAACAAGTTCCAAATCATGATCCCACATATACCATTCTGCAATTTGCATCGTCCTAGTTGAGATTGGTGATATACTCAATAACGTGATGGAGCACAGCCTTCTCTACTCTCCGAACAACCACTAGCTGACCGACAACATTGTTACCGTCATGGGCGTTGTGAACACAAGGCCGACTTCAGTATGCGACGGAGTAGAGAACATCTCGACGGACGTGGAACCATGCCAAGCAAGCTCCCGTTACACCACTCCTCCTGTAGCTTCAGTGATGAAACATGGGGTCAGATCATGGACAGAGCCTAGTATCGCAGAAAAAAACTCTTCAACGCTTCCGAGAGCAGCGACGAACGAATCAACAACGATACAGGAAAAAAAAATCACTACAAAGCGATCTCCCTGGAGAATGACGTTGCTATATTACAAGAGGAGTTGCAGCGAATCCAATCAATACTACATCCTCCTCCGAGTGTACCCTCGAATACCTCGCCATGGAAAGCAGTGGCAGAGTTTTTCCGTCTTTTTCGGAACGGTGTAGATGAACCTGTGGAGAATAAGCTTGGCACCACCACTCCATTGAATGATCTGTACGACGTTCAGAAAAAGTTTCTGCACGTGGTCATGGCTCCTAACGTCGCGTTTAACAACGGATATGGTGTCGACGCGGTGATGTACCATTGGAGCTTCCATTCACAGCAGCACGAAAAGGCAGAACTCCTGCTAACACGCTTGGAGCAAGGCTCAGACAATGCTGTAGTTGCCTTTTTCGACAATTCGACTACCATAACCGAAAACATGCTGCGGAACTCGCTTCTCATTGTCGCCAATGGTGGGGGAGAAAGCGAATTGCCTTCTTTTGCCTGGAAGCTTGTTGGTCACCGACTCAACTTTCGAATCATTGTCCGATTTGTTTGGGATAACGAGAATAACCGGTTTAAAAGTGCTTACTACCAAGCTGATATGTTGACCCCTTTGATCAAGGTCCTGGGAAATATTCAAGATGCCTCCACTGTTCTCAGTAGCACATTGGGTTTCTACTAGGGTGACCAAGTGTTGGTTTTACTGCTAGAGTTAGCCTTACGCAACACCAACGAATCCCTGTTGTTATACACGTCCTGGAGAAATAGACAAAACACTTTGGAATTTGTGACCGTGTATTATATTAATTTTTAGCACACTAACGAATACCATACCAGGTTAAATAGAGAGGAAAAGATAGATGTGTGTGCGGGGTATGAATGATTGAACTACGATTCGTAGTCTACGAAGCTTGGCTTCAGGATACGAGATAGAATTTTGAAAGTACCAGGGGATTTACTGCTCGGAAAACACTCGATTTCGAATTGGCTTTGATTGCGCGAGTTGGAAAATGCACGGTTTATCATTTACCACATTGAGTGATACAAGGAATTCAAGGTGGTTTGTTTCCCTGGAGACCTGGACCTACAAGTGTTGTAGTCGATACTTACCTAAAATACAAAATATATATATTTAATGCCTTTTCGAAATGTCGTACGAGCATCATCGAAACGAAGAACAATATATTTGTTGTATATGCAGTGACCAGACCACACTTTTCCACGCTACTCTTTACTCCAATGGTGGACGTTGAGAGGGCTATTCAGAACGAGCGAAACATCTCCTGGACTTTGCAGCAACTCAAGCAAAGGTGTTAGCATGTCGGCCTCGTAGTGTGCACTCAGCATACGGCTGTTCGAGTCATCGAAGCGAAAAACGAAGCTACTGGGCACGACAAGTCGCTTGCCAAGTAGCTTCACAGCAAGTGCTGCCCATTTTCCACCGTCGCTGTCGGTGTTGAGCTCTGGAAACGCCGAGTGCAGCACCGTTTCAGTGGCGGTGAAAACGCCGTTCATGTAGGCAACAACACTGTTTCCAACTCCACGCTCCACTCTCTCCAGCTCGATTGAATGATTCTCAAGTTGCTTCGAGATTAGTCGCCAATCTTCTAATGCCGTTTCGACGCCGTATCCGGCATTACTCAAGAAATCGTGCACGGTAATAGCCTGGAGAAACTGCGTCTGCACATACGCAGGATCATTCTTAAGCGATGTTGAGGCCTGGCAAAGATCTGACACGGAGGCAACGGGGTGGAAGCCGTTGCGGAACAGTCGGAAGAACTCTACCACCGCATTCAACGTCGCGGTTTTCGTCGGAATGCTTAGAGAAATGGCATCCCGCTGCTTTTCAAGTCGTTTGACGTTCTCCTGAAGCTGGGCGACCTCATCCTCGAGACAAACCTCTTTGTTCTGGACTTTCTTCCTGTAGCGTTGTTGCGTTCTGCGTCGGCGTTGTCGGTGGAGGATTGCCGATCGTTCGGAAGCAGGTAAAGCATACCATGATTCTTGGGAGACTGCCTCGGTTGAGAAACGCTTTGATGCTCTGCTAGGCATGGTGCGTGCTGTACCAGCGGGTACGAAGATGCTGGGGTGATTGGAAGACGCTGAAATCTGCTGAATAATCACTTGATCTGTGTGTGCAGATTTTTGGCTTGGCTGGGTTGCTTGGATGGATCGCTGAGCACGCACAGTGTTGAGATCCTTGAATAGATACTTATGGCCATGTTTTCGACGAGTTGGTACTACTCTAACCACGGTATCACTCAGTATGTAACAGTTGGGAGGAAGAAATGAATTGCCGTTCATTGGACTGTGAGGGCTTGTGTAGGACAACGACGATTTCGGAATGACACTGTTGCGGACGAGAGGTAGTGGCAACGGCTGCGTCTTGAAGATTACGTGGTGTCACCACCACTAGCGTTATACGAGTCAGCGGAGTCATAACGCAAAACCACATGACTACAAGACCAGATGATCATCATACTCTGTACTGATGTTATTAGTTTTCTTCAGAAGGAAATACATCCCATTTGCTCCTCACGCTTAAACCAGTTGTACGCACTATGGCAGCTAAATAACAAGTCATCGTCGAAAACGTTATGATGGAAGGCTACTTTTGATTACGGAGCTCTCCCATGCATGTAATCCAGCCTGATACACAAGAGTCTTTCCTATTGGCGTATTCTATAACTCGAACTAATGGGAGACACCGAACACTTACACGTGCTTTGTTTTGTTCACAACACCTCAATCGGATGCACATTTAATGATTAAAGAGTTCGTTTTTAGAGGCAGGTCCTTTGATCGAGCAAATTAATACGGGCACTCGTTGGAGTACACAACGAGGTGACTTAAAAAACTAATGCGCGGAGATGTTAGAAGAGGCCGGGGTCGTACTTCGAGGGAAAACGTGCATGATCTTTTTCGGTGCCACTCTTCATTCGTCCATTAATAATTGCGCAAATGTAAAGAAATTTGTAGGCATTATAGTAGCATACATCACTCAAATAATATGTTATGGTGTGCTGGCGGGTGGGTTAACCCCTAAAGTGGGAGGGATAGCCTGGTGTTTGCCAGTCGTTTGACCTTCATGCGAATCCGAACAGCCACTTTCATCCTCACAGGAAACTGCTTTATCTTTAAGTTTCTTCCGATATCGTTGTTGCTTTCTCCGCTGGCGCTGTCGGTCGAGAATGAGTGACCGTTCAGCAGGATCTAAGTCATATTGGGAGGCTTCCGTGATATAAGAAAATAATTGAAACGAACAAACGACAAATTAGCATGATGCATTACTTGCTGTAGTTACGAAACAAAGCCGCGTTGTTATTTTAGAGCATCTCCACCGATGGTTGAGTAAAACTAAACGTTAAACCTTTCCGGACCAAAAATATAAAATCGTGCAGCTTTGCGCATACATACAGTATACGCACGGCCAGAATGTACACGGTTCTGGCCAAACTTGCGCAAAATCCATCGAAGTAGTACGCCGCTACAGTGGCTGACTGCCACAACAGTAGGCTCGTAGACATTTCACTTTATTAGACTATTAACACAAACAACAAACCGATTGGTCTTCTCCGTAAAAATCACAGAATTAGGCACTAAAACGTATCTTTTTCCATATGCGAGCCAACAGTGTGATGGAACTCGACTAAATATTTCGCTGAAACGTAAGCATTCTCTGAATATGTTTGCGATATTCATTTGAACCAATTGGTATCCAATATGCGGACATATTTCTGCAAATTAAAGCCGTGACGAGTGTTCAGGTTTTGTTCTTTTTAAGTCGTTCGTGAATTTGGGAAGGAACTTTGTTCTGCAATTACTAGTGAGAGAGCCAATGGAAAAATACGACATTGTATTACCGAATGGAGTTCACATCCCAGCTACCCCCGGGAAGTATAATGTTACGCCACCTGAGATCTGAACCAAGTGAAAGAGCAGCGATTCTTGTTGGAGTACGATTTCTCTATTCTTAAGGTTCAAGAAATCGCGAAACCTCCAGTTTGGAACGTACAAAACATGGAGGCTTGTGCTCAAGCCATCAATTGGCAGAGATATCACCCGAAGTGTGAAGCTTTTGTAAGCTCGGGTTTGTTGGGCTACCGGTTTAATTGTAGTTCATCTTCAAGTGCGGCTGAGTATCACCAACAGCTGGTCCCGGGTTTTGCCTCTATAGATGACAGGATGTGGGCTAGTTTGTCAGCTGAGAGCAAGAGTTCGAGCTACCCACCGTGTATGCCGGCGGTCATTATTTAATTTTTGTCGACGACTGACGAGCGCAGACGAATATATACCATACTTTGACTCGTTATCTCTAATCCAGTTCGACTCAATGCCTGGATTTACACTCGATTGCCTTACTATGTATGACAAGCTGGAGAGACTCGGACTGCTTTAGCAAAACCGGTCGTTGATTCTTGGTCTGGATTATCTAGTGGTACAGAACACGCAGCAGAATCTCCTGTACATCTTGATCGAACACTGAAATTCAAATATGTATTCTCACTCGCTAACCAAACTGCATCGTATTCGTCATGTCCATTAGTGATCCCGACGAAAAATGAGCTGAAAAAAGCAAGAAATTGAAGTACACGTGTCTGGCAAAGCGGAATGGTTTTGAAGTCGAGTAACACTGAGAGTTACACACTGTTTCCACAGGTTTACCCCGTGTATCCTGTATAATGGCGCAATTGAGCATTCACTCGCCTCGCAATATCGACAGTGCTCGGATTTTCGATAGCTTCTTTAACCATTTGTTTCAATTTGAAATCCGAGAACCTATTTCGTAGGATCGTAATCAACGTGTATTTGTCCATTTCGGGGCGTGTGGCGCTGTAATCGTCCAGGTATTTGATCCAAATTTTGAACACTGGGACGTTAAAGATGTTTTCTCCAGGATGATTAGATATCACTGCCTTGAAGACTTCGTCTGGGGGATAGTGATTCATCAGGCAGTGATCAAACTGCATAGCCTCCAGCTTTGCTGCTATTGTCGCCGTACTCGGATCTCTCAGACCGACCACAATCATATTTCGCAAGTGCCAATTCCCGTAGTGGAATACTAGCTGTGACATCAACGATTCAGTTTTTGTGGGGTTCTTCTTGTTGAACATTTCAGCGTACTTGGCAAACTCTTTGAATTTGAAACTGGCTAGAGTGTTAGGGTCTACAAACCCGTCTGTCCTCTCCATATTAAGCAGTAGAAAGACGGCTGAAGGCGGTTTCATTTCGGCAATCCAACTCTGTAATCGTTCTGTCTGCAACACCTTCGCAATATCTTCAGTGGCTGGGCTTTTCGAGGCCGTCTCCATCAAGTTTGTCAGATCTCTGTCGTCGAAATGATTGTTTCTAAGTAGAGGAAGTAAAGTCGTTGCCTTCTCTGGATACTCTTTGTTGAAATCCTTCATGTAGACCATCACAACATTCAGTAGTGACGGGTTATCCCTTAGCCGGAAGGACCCGAATCCGCTGACGATTGAGTCAGGAGTATACCTCTCATTCAGCCAAGTCTTGAACAGGTCCGCCTGCAATTCACTGGCAATGTGTTTCGTGCTTGGTATATTCTCTGCAGCTTGGAGCATAGCAGCTAAATCGCTGTTGCCATAGTGATACCTTAGTGCGTGTATTATCGCCTTGGTCTTACTTGCAGAATCTGAGGTAGAGAGCTCCACGTACTTTATCCACGATTGAAACCTTGGACTTTCCAGTAGTTTGTCTCCTGCTTTGTCGAGTTTCAGCCGGCTGAAAATGTCCAAGACGGTTTTTCGCTCTGTCTTCCAGCGAGTGAGCTTTTTCTCGGACACCGTCGTCGCTGTGAATATATGTTTTATGACATCGATGGGTCCCCTCTCTTCCTTTTCAGCCGCTACCGTGTCAGTTCTAAGAAATTTCTCCCCGGTGCTGGCGATCTGGTCAGTTTTACGCAAGTGTGCCTCTGCGTTCGAAGTAGAGGCAATTACCACCCACAGGCAGCTGATAGCCAAGAACACGGCTTAGATGAAGCGCATCGTTAGACTTGAGAAGTTTGCGAAGTGATACAGTAAGCTCTACACGTAAGAAGATTGTTGATGACGGACGGTAAGGCTGTTGACGACGCTATGGGAACCGTTCACTATCCTCCACAAACTGCAAATTAAGCTGGAGCGATATCTTCTTCTCATAACCCGTTGTATTGATATCAACTGCACGATACTTACCGTATATGATAGGATATGCTCGGATAATAAAGCCTATCCGTGTTATAAAACGATGCAAAAAGGGGAAAAATGTATACCGATGATCAGAGCTTTTCTGAGTACTATCAGACCCAATATTTAGGAGTTCATGAGGAACAACTTGGCGGTGCTATGGTGCCGTATCGACGAATAAAATAAAATGTCTTATAGTGAAGTTCTTCAGATTCAGGTGGCTGCTATGAAGTCACCCAAGCAAGTCGATCAATTTAACTCTACTCCGTGCCATTTTGCCTTAATTGTAACGTTTGTAAGCAGTTATGATACAGACAGAATCCGAAAAATATATAAAACAGAGTTGCCTGAAAACCTACAGTACAGGAGAGCATAATGAACAAAATAAAATATCAATTAAAGCACATACGATACCATACTGTACCGTAATGATGTGCGTGCATAAACTCCAATATTTGAAAGTATTAGATGGTATGCGGATTTCTCCGTCGCTATCTGTATTGCGTTCAACACATATATACACACCAGTGTATGCATCCGAATTCATTCCCCGTGACTAATCAGCGTACATTAAACAGTTTCGTGACTTGAGGTGAAAGTACGTGAGCAACATATAAAATGCGTGCTATGGGTCTTTATCCACGTATCCTTATGCAAAAAAGAGTGGGTGTTGCTATTCCTGCAGGTAGCTCCCTCGCAGCACTACTTGATGATGACCCTCTACAAGTGCTGGAACGGGCGCGCGTAGAGAGAGCAAAGATAAAATCTAATGAAAGATCCAGATGTACGAAATATACATGTGTGGTGCTATTAAAGTTTGTGATCAACTACGTTCACGTCGGTCGCACTTCACGCCAAAGCCTATCAAAGTTAGAGTAAACTCCTTTATAGGGATTTCAAAAAGCAAATTTTGTCATAATAAATAGCTTTGAATGCCAAGACATCCTTCCGCTCTGGTTCACCATTCAAATCGATCAACAATTGTTCAACTAGCAGCCTGGCGGTTGAACACCAAACGCATTAGTCATCAGCGGGCTGACACTTCATGTAGCCAACGGCGGACAAAGCTCACCAAGCAGCAGTAATCACAGCAGCATTTCGTCGATGCCCGCCTAAGCACCACGCTGACTCATCAGCGTAGGATGCACAGGAACAACCGACTTATCAGAACAGTATCCATGGCACGGATATGTAGATTCTTGGCTTCATTAGCAGTAAGAATTAGACCGTTTAGCTCAACAAGGATCACGGCGAAGCGACCCAGCTGCACAACTAAATCCACCCCAAGACGATTTGGCCTCACCATTTTGTCATTGCGGGTCTTCAATGGATACTGTCCTTTGGCAGTTACTACTACAAGGAATCTCGTTCAATTTAATGACAAGCTTTCCCATTCAAACTTCAAGATGGTCTATGAGGACATTGTTCAAAGGTTGAGGTTCCTCAAAACACTATGAAATTGCGAAAAAAAGATGAGAATGATCGAAATGATACAGGTGATCGACGCACATAACATATACGTCACTGAAAGTGCTCACAAGGTGATCGTGGAACAACATCGCTGCTCCTGCTACAGATGTTCACATCTTCAAGCCATTACTTACTAACAGAGTACGTGTACAGGCAATTTAAAATAGCCAATGCACTTGAGAGCGCATTTTTATAGAGACTTGTAGCATAACCGTCTGTTATCCTGAGATGTGATTAGTCACGAGGACAAATACTAGAAAGCAGAGCTGGATATATACTAAGAATTACTAACTACATCTATTTACTGATCTCTAGTCCTCTGTACCGCGGTGAGCGAACAAGCGAGCGCAATTAACTTCCAAGTTTAGTGTCGTCAAGACGCAGCACCGAGTCATTGGTGAGCCCAGGCAGCACTCAAACTCATTTTTCAATTTCTTGGGTTTTCAGTACGTTCAAGTGACTAATGCGAAGGTAAACCATGCGCCTTTACAGCATATTGACAACGTTCACGATCGGTATCCTCAGGCATTCCTCGGCAATATCGAACGGATCTTTAAACCACTCGCTCAACGGGTGGTACTCTTGCTATGAGTTCACTTTTTCGAACGCAGGAGATTCAAGTGGTCAAGGTGGAGATGCAGAGTGTGCTATCTACACCGCCCCATTGTGCTACCCTGGCATCTGCGAGCTATCCGCGTTTGCCGAGCCTACTGTTGATATTTTCGTTAAGCGGATTCCAGCCACGGCGGGTGATACGAAGACGGCTAACAATGTTTGGCTGCTTCAAGGTGGCCCTGGTTATCCCTCCACTGCGCGTACGTAACATGTACCATGTAGAATGATTGATAACCTGATTTGCGGGATTAACGATGTTATCGTTCTACTTTTAGTTGAGGCCGACATGGTGGAGCTCCATACTCAACTAGAAGGAACGGTCAACGTGTATACGATGGACCACCGCGGCACTGGACGCAGCACGTTGTTTGACTGTGTTACTGCTCAAACCACAACGACGGGTTCTAAGCTAGGCCGTGACATTGACCCGGCCGAAGTTCCGAGCTGTGCGAAGGATCTGCGGATGAAGTATGGGGATCTCGCATCGTTTTCCACGACAAGCGCTGCTACTGACATATCGACATATATCTCCAAGTTTTCGAATGGCGCGAGTTCGATCGTCTATGGTGTGAGCTACGGAACTGTGGTGGTGGAACGTTTGATGCACTTGAACCCGCCAAGTGTTGTGGGATATGTTTTGGACAGCATTGCAACTTCGTCAGGGGCACCAGGTAACAAGTTCATGTACTACTCAACGTGGGACACTGATTTCGGGGAAGTGGGCGAGCATTTCATGGAGTTGTGTACTCAGGACAAGACGTGCAACGAACATTTCCAGTCAACCAAACTTTCTGCGACGCTCCAAAATGTGATGGCGACACTGGATAACGACCTCAGCTCACCGTGCGCTACTTTACTGAGCAACTCGACTGACACTTCACCATCAGTTGCTCTCCGATCGCTTCTAGGCACGTTTTGAAGGATGAAGCGAGAACGTTTATTCCGCCTCTAGTATATAGATTGAACCGCTGCGATGCCAACGATGTGGACGTCCTAAGCCCTTTTCTGGTAGGCATATCCACATTATCTTCCAGTTCAAGTCAGGAGGACGCCTTTCAATCGACACTGTTGTACTATCTCATCATATTCTCCGAAATGTGGGAGATGCCCACGCCGTCGACCTCCGAGTTGGAATTGCGTTTTACGAATGCTGGAATTGCCGATGGGATTTATCCATATACTTCGTTATACTGTGCTTTCTCGAAAGAGAAATCTCCAGCATGCGACGAGTTAAATCTCGGTCTCTATAAAGGTGAAGGAATTGTTTACGAGCGTGACCAGTACTGGAACAAGAGTGCTGCCATACCGACCCAAGCCAGCGTGTTGCTCTTGAGTGGTAAATTGGATCCGGAGACGCCATCCAAATACGCCGAGTATTTGTTGGATGCTCTTGACGGCTCAAACAAAGAGCTTGTCACGTTCGACTACGCGACCCATGACATCATACAGTCCACTCCGTTTAAGGGTAGCGATGGCTCCACTCTAAGCTGCGGTATGGAACTGCTGGTATCATATGTCAGTAATAACGGCGATCTAGAGCGTTTGGACCGGTCTTGCATCGATGAAATGCCTGATTTTAATCTTACGGCACCAATTGACGCTGTGCAAGGATACTTCAGCACCGATGAAGCGTACGATGGTGTCTACAACGCGAGATTGAGTCAAGGTGAAGACGTCTCTTAGACTAGACAAAAGCTATTACAGAATATGGTCGTGAAAAACTGCCGGACGAGTAGATACTACAGGAAGAGCTCTAAGCTTTTGTTGATACCCCTACCTCCAACCAGATACTTTAAATTTAGCAAAAATCCGTGTCTTTTTTTAAGATTAGAATATTAGGCGCCAATTCATCTGCGTTTAATTTAACAGTTGCAAATCGCATAAAAAAATATTATCCAGAATACTAATAAAAAAAATAAAAATAAGATACGCCGGACTGCGATTGACTCCCCGAAACAACGGAATAATTTTTTTTCTAAAATACCAGTGCATTTTTGTATTTCATTTTGAGCCCCTAAAACCATAGCATGTTATTGTATTCAAAACTATGTGATTCATAGCCCCATGCCAACGTAACGGGGTGTCGTTGCTCTGTCTTACGCTTGTTCTACTTACCATTCAAATAACATTGACAACAAAGGGTAGCACAGCATCTTCAACAGGGTCAACATTATTGAAAAAAATGTAAAACGCGCTGAGCTACTCAGTGTCAATTATACAACGGCACTAGATCTATATCATGTGGTCTTACAGCAACTAGATATGAGTTGCAAGCACTTAAGTACCGCAAGACATGGGCAGCTTCAGCGGTCAATAAGGCTGAGCTGTGCAATAGGTTATTGATTCGAACTTATTTAACATTGTTTTGGTCTTATTCTGGATGCGAGTCCCAACACTCCTTTTTTTGTGACGGACCTGAAAACACCAGACCCGATTTGAACCGAGAGCTAATTGTCTGGGAAGAATAGGTCAAAAATAGCCATAATTTCGAATATTACAAAATAGACATCCTCTAAATTCCGACTAGTGGCTCTTTACAATTCATTTAATCTTTTATATAAATAAACTGGGACCGAAAATAGCGCGGGGCCGCAACTAGGATGCTCCACTTTAGGCTGGGAAGACTGTAAAAATGGCGTAAAGTAATTTGTTTAATCATCTTAATGCGTGCGAATGGTGATTCGCGAACATTGTTCTATTCTCAACGAGGTGAGTTATTATAAACCAAAGCTACTCTTAATTTTTTTGTATTTCAGTACTAAAACAATTATTGGTCGCTCAACTACTAAGTATCTTATCGTGATATAGTGAAAACGTGACGGCTGCTTCTTCGGCGGGTCGATCCGCTCACACCGCTACTAGATTAGGCAGCCAACATATATTTAGAATATAAACGTTTTTTCGCTCCAAAGTTCAAGTTACCAACATTATCTTCACTTTTTGAACCCATCGATCTTGTCAGCAGTCGCTGAAAGATTGCATTTCACATTAAAAGATATCACGTCGTTATGAACACCCGAAGCAAAGCACACACGCAAGATAAAGCCGTTCCAAGGGAGGCATCCCCATCGCATGATCGGGGCAACAACCAACAAGAGCACGAGCAGGAAGACACTGAGACCAAAACCCGCGACGCTATCACAGAGATCACGGAGAATCTGCACAAAATCTCTTTCGGAGAGCCAAAAGACCCCAACTCTAAAGACCTACCCAGGATCACAAGCTCCAGTCAACTGGAAGAGGAACTACCAGCCATTTGCAATGAAGTTTTCCGTGTTCTCGGTCCTTACAACCTCGAGGCCACGTACCAACGAGCTCTAGCTCGAGAACTCAAAGATCGAGGAGTGATGGTCTTCTCCGAGGTGGAGATTCCTATCGAGTATAAAGGGCAACGCATCGCTTCTCGCCGTGTGGATCTTTACTTGAAGCTGGACAAACCTGTGATCCTTGAGCTCAAAGCGGTCACTACGGGAATTAAACGTGACCATGAGAGGCAACTCATATTTTACATGACCCACTTCAACGTGAATGACGGATACCTCATCAACTTCCCGCACGTTACGGGCTTCCCGGACGACAACAGTGCGCAATTTGTCAAGCGCGTGTTGCAATCGGAAGGTGGAGCTGGCGTCAGCGACCGCGTCACCAGATCGTCGACGCCTCGCAAGAATGTGATCCCCAGTGTCACCCACTGGCAGAAGGCGACGATGACCGCCAAGACCGTGACCGCCATGGCCAAGCTTGAGACGGTGGGTCTAGACTCAAATGTCTGGTATTAAACGGATAAAACCATGTGAATATACCCGCAAGTTGTTGTCACACGTCAGTAGCAGTTGGTGCTTTGTCTGTAGAATAGGCACCAGTAGGTTGACACTGGGAAGCCACAATTGGTGGGCACATAGCAAACCAGCGAGAAAGCTGCGGATTCTGAGGAATGTCTCTCCCTCGATGACACAATTTGCTCAACTTACTGGCAACTCGTTCATTCTCATTTCCACTTTCTAGTGCACAAGTCTCCATTTCAACACTTGTCCATCAACAATGAAGTTCTTCCAGGTTCTCGTCATCGCCGCCCTCGCCGTTGCCGGCGTCTCCGGACAGACCACTACAGCTGCCGCTGGTACGACTGGCACCACAGGCGCCAATACCCCGGCAGTGACTCCCGCTACTGGAGCCACCGGTGTCGCCTCCTCCACTAGCGCCACTGCTGCACCCGACGCTAGCACCACTACAGCTGCATCCAACTCTGGCGCAACCACGGCTGCCTCTGGAACCGGCGGTACTGCCTCCACCGTCGGCACGACTGGCAGCGCTACGACCGACACGTCGGTGGGCGCGTCGAGCTCGACTGGCTCGGTGGACGCGGGTAGCTCAACCACACCGACGACGGACTCATCTTCGGATCCTTCGACCACTGCGTCGTCGACCACGGGTGACTCGAGCTCTACGGCGGCTTCTGCTTCGGCCAGTGCTTCGGGATCGAGCGGTGCGTCTCAGATCACCATGGGCGCGGCTGCTGCTACCGTCCTGGCCGTCGGCGCCTACTTCCTGTAAGTTTCCCCGCCGTGGTCATGCAAATTGTAGAGTAATGTAAAAAAAAAAAAAAAAAATACATGACCGTTGGCTACATCCAAAACTTGATTTTCAAGCAGCCGTCCGTTATCTCCTTCACTTGAGGAAAATCGCAATGGACCAAATTAAGTTGGTGATCAGCGGCGCCGGCGACAAAGTGGCGGGCGCTGCGAGCGATGCCAGCAAGAAGTTGGCAAGTGTGGCGGGCGACAAGAAGAGCGCGACCAAGACGGAGGCCCCAGCGTCCGACGACGCGCTCACTCCGGGGGTGACGCCCACATGTCCGAGTCTGACAAAGAAGCAGAGACTGATCGGCTTCGCGTCCTGCTTCGTGCTCGGGTACATCGTGAGCTTCGGGGTAATGGCAATCACTCTTGCAGTCTGAAAATGACGGGGACTAAACGTATTTTGTTGCTCTTGTCAGTCGACATTTGCCTTGATCGCGGGCTCCGATAATGGCACAAAGTTCGGCATAACATACAGTTTGGGCAATATCATCTCACTGTGCGGGTAAGATACGGGTTTATTCATTGCAGCTTGAAGTGGGGATGTTGCTGATAGTGGCGATGATAATTAGTTCGGGGTTCCTTGTGGGTCCGAAGCAGCAGCTGAAGCTCATGTTTAAGCCCGTGAGACGCATTGCGACCATCATCTATCTGGTGATGATTGCTGTGGTGTTCACGGTTGCCCTCGCCGTACGTATATTGTTGTTTTAAAAGGTATTTTTGATGCTAACTAGATTTTTGTTGCTGTTAATTACCCTTTCAGGCGCCACGACTTGGTCTGGTGGTGCTGCTACTAGTGCTCATCCAGTGTGCCGCTGCAGTCTGGTAGGACTCTTATCACTAATAGCTACATACTCGTTTACTTCTACTAATCACTCGACGTTCTGCAGGTACTCGGCAAGTTACGTTCCATACGGACGCAAAATTCTGACAAGTATCGCTCAAAAAATTTGCGGGTCGGTTGGGTAAATGAACACGTCAAGAACGCGTAAATGGCTGATCGACAGCATTTCAGATCTGGAAAGTCTTTTTTGCAATAGATCATTCCTTTTATTTACCTACTTAACTATGAGGAGCTTCAACTTTAATAGCGACAAACAAGACGGTCAAGGCCAGCTTTGCCACCACGAGGGAGTTACGGTGCTATTGCTTATGCATAACAGCATCTCTCCCTTTGGTTGGAGCAGCCATGGGCGTCTAGTTGTTGCCGTAGTAGGAAGTGTTGGTGTACACGACCTCCGAGTACTCGTCCGGGCAGTAGGGGAACGTCTTGTCACTCACAATGTCGAGGAACAGGTCGTGGCCGGTCGTGTACGTCACGTAGCCGCCGAGTCCAGCACACACAACAATAATGAACGTGCCGATAGCCTTCTCGTACCACGGTGTGGTATTCCAGAACACCTTGAGGTAGAAGAAGATCGGTAGGATGATACACGCGAGAGACACCGCCCAGGCGCCGACAAAGTCCGAGAAATCCATGAAATGGTCCTTGAAAATGATGGCGAGGATAAGCAGAATCACCACAACGCAGATGCGCAGCGTCACGTACTTTGCGATCACTATGGGGCCGCTGTTATGGTATTCATTCAGAAGAGCTTCCGGGGTCAGGTCGTGTTCGGCATCAGCCATAGACGTGATCGACGGACGGCCGTTGACAATAGGCGTGCCCTCCTTCTCGCCCAGACTGTTGTGGGGAGTGTTGATAACGTTAAATGCGGGAGATTCCTCGTCCACAGGAAGAACAAGAGGGCGTTTGTGCATGCCCAGCACGCCGCGTTCGAGAATGTACAGCACGGGGTTCAAGATGACGGACATGGCGATGGTAATGTGCAGTTGCATGAACATGTAGGCAAGCACAACAGCACCGCGGCTCGCGTCTAGATCCAAAGCTGGGCCGTTGATGGCGAACAGCAGGTTACCGGGGATCTGGCATCCCACGTACGAGTACGACGTCTCGCCGATGATCAGGAAGCAGCACGCGGCGAAGATCATGGTAGAGGCGACAACGCGAGGCATACGCTCCGGCTGGGAGTGTTCGCGTTGGAGAGCGGGGACCAGCACGGCGGCGGAGTAGGCCAGAGCCAGGTTGCCGAACGATGATGCGGCCTCACTGAACTTGATGTCCGGACGGGGCACGGAGGGGTGGTCGTTGCCGATACCCACGGCCAGCACGGCGATAGCGATCGCGTCAGCGAGTACCGTGCCCATGCAGCCAGCAAAGGCGGCGTACGCTCCTTCCTTGAGCGTCGGCGTCACGATAACCGGCAGCAACATGGCGGCCATGATGATGCTCCAGTATTGCTGGTCGAACGCACCTGGAGAGATACCGTCCAGTAGGATGCCGCCCAGTACGAGGTAGGCGCACGGCACCAGGAGACACACGCCGAACTGCGCGAGCAGCACGAGGTAGCGTCCGATCTTGCCGCAGCACCATTCACCGACGTCGCCGTAGGTTTTAAGGTGCTTGGGTGCTGCAAGGCACACTCTGGAGATGGCAACGCAAGAGCAGACATTGGCGAAACCCATGAACAGCAGCGCCACCGTCGCGATCGGTGCACCTGAACGAGCGAAATTGGCCGGTAAACCCAGTGTTCCGATACCGTACACGGTACAGAAGAAGCTGAAGGCGATCTTGAAGTCCTCGAGTGTGAAGAACGGCATGATGGAAGATACTAAACCGCCGTCCAGAGGCTGGAGGGGGGCTTGTCTTCAAAGGAGAGAAACGGGAAATGAACGGTCTGCCAGGCTCACCTCTCGGGTCCAAGCACCGGCAGTGAGAACATACACGAACAGAGGTGGGCGTCTTGCATCGGTGAGTGTGCGCTTCCAATCAGCGGAGACTGAACGTATCAGTGGAGACTGAACGAGCCTGCGCGGTCGCTGACTGGTTTGTGAGCTGGCAGCTTTCGTTCAGCCGATTCGCAGAGACGCTGGACGCCGCCTCCATGCTGCGTGCGATACTCAAGTCTTCATAGACGCGGGAGTCGTGGAAGGCTCCGCTTGTGACGCGGCGCAATGTTTGGTCGAGGATCGAGTCACCTCTGTGCCGGTGCATCGTCACTCATCCCCCTTTTCGTCCACAGATCCGTCTCTCATCCCAAAAGAGACGGGGCTTGTAGCGCGCGTCGCACACTGCGGCCTCGGACTTTGGTCAGGCGAGAGGATCCAGGCTTGGCGAATGTCTAGCTACAGTTAGCTAGAGCTATTCCGCTTGCAATCTTAGGTGACGGAAGTGTAGCTTGCATTGTGGGTATGCGGCTCCAAAGTTGGGACCTACAGGGGTATTTATGCACGGGCTCAACTTTAGAAATTACCAATGCATTCTCGCCGCCGTGACAGCTTGTCATATAAACCAACGGGTGTTCGCGACAGGTTGCAAAACAACTATCTTCTCGTGTACTGCTCTACGTCGACGAGCATGCCGAGAACCCTCAACCTGTATTATCGAACTGAAGCTGCTCAAGTTGCGGCACTAAGCACGATTGCCAATTGACTGTGAGGAATGTCGTGAAAACCGTGAGCCTGGCACTTCGTAATTCCAGATCCGACTCACATATTGCTCACGTGTTCAGCAACACCGAAACTTCGACGTGGTTGGTTTGTCATTCACTAAGTGCCACCGGTGATGAGTCAACGATACACCTCAGTCATCTGAGCTTAGTTACAATTTCGTTACCATTCAACAGTAAAGTGCATGTTTGCTTGAAAGGCTGAATCGCATAATAAGTTCAATAGAATCATACGTTTATTAGCTGATACAAGAGCATATTGCCAGGGCTAGCTTGACACCAGAGTGACTCTGCGGTGCTATGCGTTGGCATAACAGCGCTTCATCACTCAAGATGCGCAATATGCTAACCGTGGAAGCTCTAGTTGTTGCCGTAGAAAGTCTCATTCGTGTACACGACCATGTCGTAGCCTGCGGGGCAGTACTGGAAGGTCTTGTCGCTCACGATGTCGAGGAACAGGTTCTTGCCCGTCGTGTACGTCACATAGCCGCCAAGGCCAGCACAGACGACGATAATGAAGGCGCCGATGGCCTTCTCGTACCAAGGCGTGCGGTTCCAGAACACCTTAAGGTAGAAGAAGATCGGCAGGATGATGCAGGCCATGGACACAGCCCAAGCACCGACGAAATCCGTGAAGTCGACGAAGTGGTCCTTGAAGATAATGGCGATGATGAGGAGGATCACGACGATGACAACACGGAGCGTCATATACTTGGCCGTCACGAGGGGGCCACTGTTGTGGTACTCCTCGATCAGAGCGTCGGGGGTCAGATCGTATTCGGCGTCGGCTAGCGACGTGACAGACGGGCCGCCGACGTGGTCCTTCGGCTGCGACGGCGTGTTGATAACTTCGAACGCCGGGGATTCCTCGTCCACACGAGGGAGCACTGGACGCTTGTGCATGCCCAGAATGCCGCGCTCAGCGATGTAGAGCACGGGGTTCAGGATCACGGACATAGCGATGGTGATGTGCAGCTGCATGAACATGTAAGCAAGCACAACAGCACCGCGGTTGGCGTTCAGGTCGAGGGCCGTGCCGCCAATAGCGAACAGAAGGTTACCGGGGATCTGGCAGCCCACGAAGGAGTACGCCGTCACGCCGATGATGAGGAACAGGCAGGCCGTGAACGCCATAGTGGTAGCAACCACGCGCGGCATACGTTCGGGCTGCGAGTGTTCGCGTTGGAGAGCGGGGACCAGCACGGCGGCGGAGTAGGCCAGCGCCAGGTTGCCAAACGAGCTGGCAACCTGGCCGAAATCGAAGTCGGGGGTGATGACGGACGGGTGGTCGGAACCGATACCGTGCGCCAGTACACCGAGAGCGATAGCGTCGGCAAGAAGTGTGCCGAGGCAGCCGGCAAAGGCGGCGGCAGCACCTTCCTTGAGGGTCGGCGTTAGGATGACGGGCATTAACATAGCAGCCATGATGATGCTCCAGTACTGCTGGTCGAAGGCGTCGGGGGAGATACCGTCGAGCAGGATACCGCCGAGCACCAGGAAAGCGGTCGGCACCAAGCAGCACACGCCGAACTGGACGAAGAGCACGAGGTAGCGGCCGATCTTGCCGCAGCACCACTCCCCGACGTCACCATACGTCTTGACCGTCTTGGGGGCGGCCAGCATGACGCGCGAGATGGCGACGCACGAGCAAATGTTGGCAAACCCCATGAAAAGCAGCGCGATCACGGCGAGTGTGATACCCGAACGGGCAAAGTTGGACGGCAAGCCAAGTGTACCGATGCCGTACACGGTACAGAAGAAGTTGAAGGAGATCTTGAGGTCCTCGGACGTGAAGAACGCCATGGTGTTAAACGTCTGACGGTCTCGACTCTTGTGTAAAAGGGAGAGCTGCGGTTTGACCGGAGCAAAACGAGAAGTGGACGTGGCTGCAATGCAAAAAGGCTCACGACACATTAATCTCCCGGATGTGCCACGAACCACTTGACCTGCTCCAGTCATGAAGGCTTGCCAATCAGCACGGACGCAAGCACGTGTGGGGAACGCTGACTGGCCCGCTTGACCTGCTGCGATAGGTTAAGTCGGCGGCGCCGGCTCCATTTTGCTGGTCATAGACCGAGGTGTCCATGTGCATCGAAAGTCTCACCAGGTGACGCGGTGCCATGCCGGACACCGGATTGGTGAATGGTGGTGCAGGCTCTTTGTGATTTGATACACAAGAGACAAACCTGTAGACGAGAAGATGGGCAAACTGTACAAAGCTGAAGTTGGTCGACGTTTCTTACGCTTAATCTTTGTATGGCGTGAACAGACGTACGGTTCCGGTGCAAGATTGGATCCCGTACATGTAAATTAAAATTCCAGACTGCAAGAACGTTTTGCAGCGCAAAGTTTGAGGGGGTCGTCATCCCCACGCGATGCAAGATCAATTTGTACCGGTACAATTAAATCTTCTAACGTCGCGAGCTCGTTCTGGGCAATACATGTCTTGTATCCGTTGGGTAAGGTTGGTATCTAATAGGAACGAGCTTGATCAAGCTTGCAAGAATGGAATGCAGAGGATGGGTTTCTGCGATTTCGCCATGGAGGGTGCAACCGCTGGGGATGCGCTAGGGCCTGACGCTGGCTATGCAGCCTCGATGCAACAAGATCAATGGCATTGCCAAGCAGGGTCCAGTGCTTGGTTGCGATTCTGATGCAAGCGCCGGCGTCAAGTGCTTGGACTTTTCCTCCTGCTCGTCCAGGGTCGACTAGCTGAATTCCTGGAGCAAAGCACGCCTTTGTAAAGCTTGCCGTTCCTTGCCAGCGACGAATCAGTAATTCATGAGGCGAAGCTTAGTAAGCTTGCACGTGATGTATTCATCCGAGTCAGCTCGGAACCGGATGTCTGTATCCTTTGAGGTCATTTCGACAGAATTGTCGACAAAAACGATTTTTAGCTGTTGATTGGCGAGAGAGAGTAGGATCGAATAAGACAGCAGCAATGTCGTGCACTGCAAAGCAAATTGGCTGCATCGAATCAAAAACCTTAGCAAGCCGTGTCACCGTGCGAAGACGAGAATTTCAACACGAGCATCATGACATGTATTCCACGTCATGAGGCGGTCTGTTTTAAAGCTTTGACTTTTACAGATTCGCATTCCATGCCCTCATTCTGTAGACGAGAGCTCATCAGCCGTGACTGGGAGTCAAACATTTATGTTTCAAACAATAATGTAGCCATGCTGGAAAGTATAAAATGGTTGAAGTTGTCAACTCGACGATTCAATAGAAAAAGCGTATTTGTTTTTCTGTGCATTAATCTACATCACACCGCTTCACAAGCGACGGAATACGAGTGAGACTGCTTACAGGAAGTAGGCGCCGACGGCCAGGACGGTAGCAGCAGCCGCGCCCATGGTGATCTGAGACGCACCGCTCGATCCCGAAGCACTGGCCGAAGCAGAAGCCGCCGTAGAGCTCGAGTCACCCGTGGTCGACGACGCAGTGGTCGAAGGATCCGAAGACGAGTCCGTCGTCGGTGTGGTTGAGCTACCCGCGTCCACCGAGCCAGTCGAGCTCGAAGCGCCCACCGACGTGTCGGTCGTAGTGCTGCCAGTCGTGCCGACGGTGGAGGCAGTACCGCCGGTTCCAGAGGCAGCCGTGGTTGCGCCAGTGTTGGATGCAGCTGTAGTGGTGCTAGCGTCGGGTGCAGCAGTGGCGCTAGTGGAGGAGGCGACACCGGTGGCTCCAGTAGCGGGAGTCACTGCCGGGGTATTGGCGCCTGTGGTGCCAGTCGTACCAGTGGCAGCTGTGGTGGTCTGTCCGGAGACGCCGGCAACGGCGAGGGCGGCGATGACGAGGACCTGGAAGAACTTCATTGTTGATGGACAAGTGTTGAAATGGAGGCTTGTGCACTAGAAAGTGGAAATGAGAATGAGCTGAAGATGCTGATTTTAGTGGAGCGAGTTATGTCGCGGAAACGAAGAGGGAGAGGAACACAACAGGTTATCGAGTTTACCATGCTCTTTCGCGCACATGCTGCCATACGACACCCAACTTGTGGCGTTGCGGCTCAAAGCGAGCCATACGACAATGTAGGGATCCATTGGAATGGCTGCATTTGGTTGAAGTGATCATTTCATCGGAATCAGATCCTGATTCCATCGTCGGTACACTGTACCCTACTTTCAGCCACCAAAGGCACGCGTTGACATCGTTGTGCTCTCTGCATCGTCCGTACGGCTCGCTCATCGCTTTATATATCGGCAGCGGCAGCTCTCCAGTCGCTGCAACTTGCACCACCTTCAAGCCAAGACGTTCATCTCCCGTTCACACCACTCGCGACGTGTCATCTCGCTCTGTAGCGCTCGCAATCGCCTCCAATCCACCATGGCGCGTCTCCTCAAACCGGACGCTGAAGGTTTCGCCTTCGCGGCGCAGCAATTGCGACTTGGACAGCTCGTATCTTTCCCTACTGAGACCGTCTACGGTCTGGGCGCCAACGCACTCAATCCGGAGGCTGTTCTGGCCATTTTTGAAGCCAAGGCGCGGCCTCTCACAGACCCACTGATCGTACACGTCCCCGCTCTGGAGGACGCCGTAAAGCTCGTGGACATGACACCGACCGGCCAACAGGCTTTCGAATGCCTGGGCAAAGCCTTCTGGCCTGGACCATTGACGCTCATTGCTAAGGCCGTGCCAGAACT